GAACACTTAAAACATCCAAGAGACAGACATGAGACCCCACTTCTGTGACCACAGTAGATGGACCAGAAATGGGTGTCTAATCCAAAGAAAACCTATCTACAGGCTTGTCGCTGCTGGCCTGCAAGGTGACATGGTGTAAAAGTGTTGCTCGCACTGAAGAGTGATGGATTAAGCCAACCAAGTTCTCCTTCCAGAGGCAAAACACAGAGAGACAGAGCAAGAGCCGTTAATAGTGGGAGCAGAAATGGGATGTACAGAAAAGCCAGGAAGTACTAGAAAACATAAAGAAGAGGAAGCCCAGAATAAGCAGAAGCAGATGCTAAAGGTAGAGAGAAGAGTGGAGAGCTGACCATGGTATCAGCAGAAGCAGTAGAAGCAGAGGCAGGGAGAAGTTGAATCATCACGGCATCAAAGGACACCAGCATTCATGGGATGGGTAAGAGAATCCAGCCATGGCAGCTGCACGGTACCCTGAGACTGGCACTCTAGTTCCTGGACTAACAACTTGTTCCAGTTTATGGGATGTGTGACTGATCATTGGGTTCTGACCGTGAGGTCAAGATCCCCACCCACAATTATACCCACACTTATCCTTACACAAATCTCTCATTTCAATTTTGTGTCTGATAACCTTAAAATAATCTAACTCAAGCGCCCAGAGAGGCAGGAGAAAAAGGAGTTGAATGTCACAGTATGGGAGTTAATAGAAGAGAATGTTTCAAGAAGGAAATGGTCAATTGAATCAAATGTTACAGAAAGATCAAGTAAGACGAGCACTTTAAAAGGAACAGAGATTTGCTAACAAAAATGTGAGAGCTGGGTAAGTGGAGAGAGAAGCCAGGTTGCCATGGATGATGGCATGAATGGGAGGTAAGACCAGAAAGTCAGCAATACAAACCCTACTTTCAAGTGGTTCTACTGTGAAGAGAGAGAAAAATAAGGCTCTAAGTTGTGGAGTACAAGGAGTGATATTTTTTAAGATGAAAGAGATCTGAGCCTATTTAAAGACTGATGGAAATAAGCCACTATTGAAGGCAAGGTTGAAGACAGCTGAGAGAAGAAAACAACTAATAGAACTAAGATGCAAGAGGCCAGGTAGAGGGAATAACCCAAGACAGGAGGAGAGAAGGAGGCAACAAAGGGCGGGCACACGTATGAGGCTATGTTAGGATCAGATATTAAAGGTGTTTCCTGTAATGGCTTCTATTTTCTGGGTGAGATAGAAAATGAGATTATCTGCTGACAGTGAAGAAGGAAAAGACAAGGTAAGAGCCTCGAGGGAATGGAGAATATTTGCAGCAGTCATTTTGGAGAATGGCAGTGAGATCTAACCAGGAAAACGGTGAAGGATTACCAATTAGTACAAAGGGCTCAAGTGAAATCAAAGGCCGTGGATTTGGCATACCAGTTAGCTGTGCTTTCATGTGATTTCCTCCAGTCTCCTTCAGTGGGGCAGGAAAAGCAGCAAAAACATTGGTAGTTGGGATTAATTCCAAGTTGAGGACAGAAGGGCAAGGGAACAAGAAGTTTAAGGTGTTAGGAAGAGAATGACTGAGGAAATATGTCGGCTGGCTCCAGAGGGAGTGAAGATGAGCAGGTCTAGTAGGGAGAAAATATGAGGACCAAGGTATCTCAAAGAACAGTTATTTGGGAGTAAGAGATAGAGTTCTGCGATAATAAGAGGCTATGGAGAATTTAAGATTTCAGAGGTGGAGAAGTTCTAGGTGATTCGAAGATCCTGAATTTGGCCATGTGTAATAGATGTGTGTTGTCTGTCCGTCCAGCTTCTCTTTCTTTGGGGAACTTTCCCTCTGTTACTACATGTGGTTCTGGTTGAACAGATTATTCTGGAGCCTCACCCCATCCCACCCTCGCTGCAGGGGTTGGCATAGGATGCAAGCCAGTGAGTTCATCCTTCTGGCTAGAGTGATTGGCTCAGGGGTATGTGACCAAGAAGAGATGATTAAACTATTCTGAGATTTCTTCCATGAATGTTAGAGGCAGAGAATCTCTCTTCCTCAGCTCAGTTCCTCACTTGTAAAGACTTTGTAATTGCTTATGACCATCTTTCTTGGCAACATAGAGAAATCATCTCCAGAAGGAGCAAGTGAGTCCACTATACAAAGACAAGCAAATCAAGCAGAGACAAAGATGAATAAAAGCAAAAAGGATCCAGAAAACAATGTTGAATCCCTGGATCTAGCCATGCTGAAGTTAGTCTACCCCTGAATCTTTCAACTGAGCATCCCAAAATCTCTTTGCTTAAGGTAGCCTACATTGGATTACTAGAAACTCCAGTCTAGGAGTTGGGTGGCTGAAACCAAAGGAGGCAAAGGTATGAGAGCTGAAAGAACAAGAAACTAAAGGTAAAATGTTGCATGGGTTTGCCTTATAGGCATGAAAGTCATCTAAGATGAAGGCAGTACTTGATGAGAGTGGAGAAGACACCTCTGGACCATTTCAACAGTCTTACATAGGAAGAATAGACAGGATGTTAGTGAATTAACTGCAGTAAGGACCGGAAGAAAGTTATATATTAGTTAGCGCGAGCCTCAAAAGAATGATGGTTCTTATACAAAGGTGAAGGAATAGCAGCATGGAAGCTGCAGAGCGGAAAGAGAGGCATACAGACCCCACTTGCTGGGAAGAAGCTAAGTGGGGTGTGCAATAAAGTGGGTAAGATCGCTACTGTGTAAAGTGGGCAGAGCCTTCCCAGTCAAAGGTAACTGTGAAATGCTTCCCCAGTGAAAATTAGACTTCATTTTCTAAGTCCTAATTGTTACAGTATCAATAAAATAGACATTCTTTAAAACTTTCAGCCCACAACCCCTTGACCTTGAATCACTTGCTGTTCATCTATAAGATAAAGTAAAACTGGAAATGTAGATGGATCAAGTTAAATTTTTTCTAATTGAGATATTCTAAGCATACATTCAAATGTCTCACACAATGATCAGAATAACAACCTCAGCAGCAATTATTACTCAAGTGATTTGGTAGAAGAGTTAATGTTAAATATTTTAAAACTCTATTTAGAAGATCACATCACACTAATGCATTTTATTGGACAACATGAAATATACATGGATATTACAGAAGAACAAAATCTAACACAAAAATGTGAAGCTGGCCTGCCACCTCTGGAATGAAGGCCAAAGAGGGAAAGCTGACAACCAACTGGCACTTCAACAAGAAGGGAAACGGCTTTATTAAGGGATTCTCAGTTTGTCCAAATGACAAATAGTTAATGCGCATATGGACATATATACATAGACAGAATTTATTTTTCTTATCCCATATAGTCTTTCCACCAGAAATTCCTAAGGACTATATTCAAACACTTTAAATATTTCTATATGTATTAAAGATGATTGTATCTATGCTTGAGTTATATTTTGGAAATATTATATAAATGCATATTTAGATAAATGGAATGTAATTTTGTGTAATAAGGAGAAAGTACAGGACTAACCATATTTAGTATGAACCATTTTTAATCTCTTATATGAACCTGGAAATACAATTAATGATAAGTCAAAATGGAAAAATAATATTATGACAGTGTATGTTTGCTTGTTTGTTTGTTTGTTTTGCGGTATGTGGGCCTCTCACTGCTGTGGTCTCTCCCGTTGCGGAGCACAGGCTCCGGACGCACAGGCTCAGCGGCCATGGCTCACGGGCCCAGCCGCTCTGCGGCATGTGGGATCTTCCCGGACCGGGGCACAAACCCGCGTCCCCTGCATCGGCAGGTGGACTCTCAACCACTGAGCCACCAGGGAAGCCCCAGTGTATGTTTTTAAAGTGATGTTGTTAAAAAGCATCTTTGAAGAGTGTCAAAAATAAATTTACAAAGAAAATAAATGAAGTTCATCAAAGACTGTATTTGGAAAATGAAAACAGAGAGAATGCACAAAAACAATCTCCCCCACCGCTGGTCCCGCCCGCCCGCCCTGACCCCGTCAACGACGGCTTTCTGTGGCCTGGACGGAGCACAGTCACTCAGCAGTTCTATCCCCCAGAGACCCGAGAAGCGAAGTCGCCTCCTCCACTCCAGGTGAATGTGGGTCTGGAGCAGCAGCCACTGCATCTTTGGAGCGTGTGGAGGGATCTCCAGAGACCACAAACCTTCCCTTGGGAGAATACGTGGCTACCTCCCCTACTGTTGCAGACCTCATTCATGTCCTAAGTCAGGGATGTGCAGTAGCAAAATGCACACGACAGAGAAAGCCAGGCAGAGACGACCCATCCCCCAGCGGAGACCCTTGGTCACTCTCCCTCTACGTCAGCTGTCATCCAAACTGTGTCAAACTCACCTCCTTTCTTCTAGAGTTTTCATTTTCTCTTAATGCTTGGGTGTAATTTATTTTTTCCTTCTCCTTTAAATTAGACACGAATGCTCTTTTAAGGGAATATAAATTTTTTTTCTTACGGCATCAACAGAAATAAGACAATCACCCAAAAGAGAAACAGGTTTTCCTTGGGAAGTTAAGAATATGGTTTCCTGAAAAATATTCGTGAAATAGAAATTTAAAAGGAAGACAGAAAATGATAGAAATTCACTATAAAATCTCAATCCTGAAAAAGTATCCGTGCTGTCAGGACATCTGATATATTGGTGAATAAACTGTGTACAATTTCTTCATCTTACCAGTATTTCATGTTAAAGCTTTCATTTTTAAAGTACTGAGCTCGGCTCTGTTCAAACATTAATGATTACCACCAAATACGATCTGGTAGCAACATTTATTTGAAAGAGGACCATTTTATAGGACCTCAGATCTATGTATGTTTCATCCACATAATTAGGTGTATGGCTTTTTTTTTTTTTTTTTTGGGGTACGCGGGCCTCTCACTGTTGTGGCCTCTCCCGTTGCGGAGCACAGGCTCCGGATGCACAGGCTCAGCGGCCATGGCTCACGGGCCCAGCCGCTCTGTGGCATGTGGGATCTTCCCGGACCGGGGCACGAACCTGCGTCCCCTGCATCGGCAGGCATACTCTCAACCACTGCGCCACCAGGGAAGCCCGTGTATGGCTTTTTAAAGAAATCATGTGGGTTACACTCATAAATCTCAGTCACTTTTGGACTTCAATCCTTGATTGTACAGATGTTTTCCTTCCTTTGTGATGAAGGCAATTTCCACCAGAATCACAGGAATTTCAGGAGAAACAGTAGGACTGTGAAATAACAGAGAAGGTGCAGTCTTTGATACTGAGCCGACCTGGTGTTCATTCTGGTTCTGTCACTAACTAACTGCAATCATAGGTAGGTAACCAAGATCACCTCTCAAGCCCCAGAGAGGTTGTAAAGTAAAAACATTAAAGTTTCTCCACATGGTTATTATGAGAATTAAATTGGGTAGTAGAACTCCTGACTCATAATAGAAACCCCATAATTGTTATTTCTCTACCGTCATTTCCCATTCTAGATACACAATCTAGTGAAATTCATCTGGGTCCCAAAGTGCTAGCAAATAAAATAATAGGTGATTTTAGTGCCAAACATTTACCTAAGGCTGGCACCTTTGAGATCCTTTTTTGCCCATGATCGATTCTTGCTCTATCATCAAAGTATACGATATTCACACACTGATCAAACTTCAAAGGTTTGGGGAATTTGTGAAATTGAGAACTCTGTCCTATCTCTCATCTCCACCTCCCTCAAGAGATATGGCGTTCAATGAAGAAGTTGTAAGTGGCCTTGTGGGTGTCCATCTTGCCTTGTGGTCACATCTTTGAGGCAGGCACAGGTGACAAAGTGATGCTGGTGTGAATGGATCAGTCTTTCAAGACATTTGATGATTTCATAGTCAGGAAGAGCGAGACTGGTCATGTTCAAGGCCAGCATTTGAGAAACCACCTCCCTGAAGTCCACCAGCTGCAATGTCAAACAGAACCACAATGACTGAGAGAACAAAATGTATCAACACAGCTAGACCAAATGCAACCCAAACATCTGTGGAAAACCCAGGTTTGCATGAGCTAGGCAAATTACTTACTCTCATTACTCTCTGATTAATTCTCTCATTTATGGAAGAAGGAGGAGAAGGAGAAGAGGAAGAGGAAGAAGAAGGAGAAGAAGAAGGAGGAGGAGGAGGAGAAGAAGAAGAAGAAGAAGAAGAAGAAGAAGAAGAAGAAGAAGAAGAAG